GATTCATTTCTGATTGAAGAGGTGGGGGGAGGAAAACCCCTCACACAAGCCCACCCAAAAGGATGCATCCGCTCTGAATATTAAATGTTTGCTAGCAATGAAATCTGAGACATCAATCACATTTGACAGGAGTTTGCCCTGTACAAGGAGGAGATGACAGTGCCCGATTGCAGAGATTGTTACATACCGCGCCACCTAGTGGCTGAACGTAATAGAATTTTAGCATTTCGCCCCAGACACCTAACCTGTTCAGGTGCTTTTGCATATCTCATTAGGCATCTATATGTAGCTTTAGGCTCCTAAATACCTTTGAAAACCTGGCCCTCAGTGACTGAAGCTTTGAAACCATTCAAAGAGAACTACTTAACTAGCGTGCAAGGAACAATGGTGTAAATATTACAGTAGTGCTCAGACCCAGAGTAACTCCACTGAATAAAGAGTAATGATATGTTAGCAATAAATTACCCAATTACATGTAAGACCTTTTTGATGTGTGGAAGATATTGTATTCAGAATGATTCTTGACTGACATGTTGTAGACTGCTCACCTTCAACCAGACACGGAAGAAGAAGAAAAAATGCTGTTTGAAACATTCCATTGCTGCAGGTGTTTCAGAGGCAAAGGCCAAAACACTTTTCTTCTTCCCAGTTTAGGAGCCTGAATTTCCTATCATACTACAGAGGTCTGTCAGTATTTCAGTGCTCCAGAATCGAGCAAAGTGGGGCCTTTAGCTGGCCCCTGGCTTTGTGCTATGTGATGGCACCCTTCAAAATTTCTTGTAACCTCATCCAATAGCCATCCGAGGTGTTTTACAAGCATTAACAGTAATGGTTGGGAATAACACCAAAGACAAGGCCTTTAGCTGAAGTCTAGGTTGAACTAGTACATCAGCAATATGGTCATTCAAGTGCTACAGCTGCATGCGTTCAGCTGGTCCTAACTCTGTCCCACAATGCAATGCTTTGATTTTGGAGGGTGCTCCAAAGCTTCTGCTCCCACCAAATATACTAGGTGAGCAGTCGAATTTTTTTCAGCTTTCTCCAGCTGGCAACTAAGGCTCCAATGCTGCAGCTGAATAACCTGTAGATGTGCAGTGGCCTGCCAATGTGCACCCAGTTGCTGGATAGGGGTCTTGGTTTTGGGGCTACTTGCCTTTTGACAGTAACCAGCAGAAATCAGCTGAAGGATTCTAATGGAGCCCACTGGAATTTCCTCTGGGGGAGGAAGAGTAGCTGGAGTGACTGCCGAAGAACAGTGGATTCTGGGTATAGTGAAAAAGCCAAGAAAGTTGACTCAAGGTTGTTTGGATCTGACAAGTCAGGCATTTGCTTTAACTAAAACCATGTTTTCTCCGCTATAATTTGTGGAAATTTGGCTTGGAACAAAGCATTGTCTGTCTATTTGCATCTTTATGAATTGCCAGTGCCAGTTAACTACCACATAGTTAAAAGAAAGTCAGAAACCTTCCACCCACAGACTAACCATTGGAGCTGGTGCCGTCTAGTGCATAGAGCACAGACCTGGAGCCAAGAGCGCCTGTGCTCTAATCCTGACATTGACTTGCGGCATTGCCTTGGACATGTCTCTTAGCTACTCTGTGCCTCAGTTTCCACATCTATAAAGTGGAGACTAGACTTCCCTACCCTTCAGGATGTTATGAGGATATATTTGTTAGTTTGTACAGTGTTTTTAATGTAAAAAGTCCTGATACTATATAAATAACACAGCAATGACATAGCTTGTGTGTGTGTGTTTGTGCTGCACTGCCCCATACTGGATAGAATCAGAACTGCTCACCTGTGTGTCATTGGTGCTATATTGCTGCCAGTGAAGGGTGATTCTCCTTTAGCCCAAATAGAAGGGGCCTGTGATTGTGGAAGTGAAATGTGTAGGAAAAAGAGGTGCTAAGGTAACAATGATGGGACAGCGTAAGAACCTAGCTACATATCCCACTGTTGCAGTAAAGTTCAGCATATGGATAACAGTGAAGTCATAGTTAACTCTGGATTTACTACAGGTTTTGTGGGGAGGGGGGGAGACAAGAAATTCACAGTTCTCGAAAGTCTTTTCTCCCTCTTAAGGGATAGTACGAATTAGGGATGAAACGTTAGCCTTATATGTGTATTTACTGATTCCTGTTAGCTTGTATCCAGTTTTAATGCACCTCCTGCTAAACATTTATTAGGATGATAACGTGGCAAATGCCAGCAATCCAGTGGTTAGCATTACTACATGCAGGAAGGTTTGGAGTTTCTTGGTCTGGAAATGGTCCAGTTCAATGATAGCTTTTCTCCTGTGGTTAAAATGAGTCAGAGTGTGACGTCCAGCTCCAGACCCGAGCACAGATGCTGAGAAGGACAGACAGTGAGTGCCAATGATAGCATTTGGGGGAGTGTGAAGACCTGTCAGCACTGGCACTGACTGTCGTTCGTGTCCTCCTAACAACCGGCCTTACTCCAGTGGTGAATCCTGCAAACAGAATTGAGCCTAGCTCAGAGTTTTCTGAGAATTTACATCCTAGGTAACCTGGGGCCAAATCCTGAGGTCCTTACTTGGGAAAAGCTCCCAGGGAATAGAATTCCCACCACCTCAGTGGGAGCCTAAGAATTTAGCTTCTAGACTAAGAGCTTCTGAAAGCAGGGGCTAACTTATCTGTCTGTATAGCACCATGTGTATATTGTATAATGAATGATCACATTACAGTCATCAGAGGAACCAGACTCTACATCAATGTATTTGTTATAGAACTTAGTGAGACAAGACATGGGCTACAACTGCAAGAGACAACAAAGGCCAGGGGCATGCGTGATTTTGGAGGTTTGCCCCTTGTAGCTGCCCAGATCTGTTTAACCTCACTGCTAATGAAAACAGAGAAGTCAGCTTTCATTCCCGTGGCATCTGCAGCTATGTCATTGTAAGGCGATGTGGCAGTTTTGTTTGCTAAGTCTCTCTAGCCTGCATCTCCAGGCTGAGAGTACTTAGTTTGTGATGGAGCTTACATGTGTTCTTTCTCTCTCATTTTCCTTAATAAAGTCATCAGGATTGAAAGTACAGGTTTGATTTTGGTTTATGAGAGACAGAGCAGCTACTGTAGAGCAGTAGCAGCCCTGGACATGTTCTGTTTGTGCCATAATCTGCTTCCATTCCTCTTAGTTGTGAGCACCTTGGCAGAAGGTAGCCTCAACTCAACTAGTGTTTTGGTGGAAAGGTTTCTGTGAAACTCCTACTGTGACCTGTTTAACTTAGTCTTAAATTTCTCTCTCCCTTTGGTTCGAAGTCTGTACTCCCTGCAGGACTGATCCATAACTAATGAAGCTTGTCCCCACCTCTACAGGCACACTGTCAGAACTAATATAAGGGCTCTGAGAATAAATGGATTTAAAATATCTAATCTAAAAAAAAATTTGGATTTTTTTTTTTAAATCCATGAACTTTTTTTTTAAATTTTCCCTGCAGCATTCTAAGCCTCAACACTGGAGCTTTGTGTTAATGCAAGTCCCTTAAACGTCTCTGTGACTCAGTTTCACCATCTATAAAATGGGAACAATAGTACTGTTGGGAGGGAAGTTCTCACAGTTGGGGAAGGCGGTCCTGGGTCCCCATCCACATACCTCTGCACAAGCACCAACCCTTTTCCCTAGAGGATTGTTAGACCTCTGGACCAGGTACTCCACTTAACCACAGAACAATCCTTGTATCTAACTCAGACAGTGCCAGGAGTAGATCTCCAGCAGGGGTTACACAAGCTCCTTTTCCCCTTGGTACAGCATATATCATACAGCCCCCCTATGCCCTCCTAGGTAAGCACTTGCTCTCTGTTTTGAACTGATCCATGGCCCCCTTCAGTCAGTCCTACCTGCCTGGCACTCTGGAGCTGGGGTGCGCTGTACACTCAGAATGGTGGGGTCCTGCCAACTGGTCTCAGTCCTGTTGGCTCCAGGCTGTGCGGTCTACATTGCTCCCTCTCTGCAGCGTCCATGGCAGCTCTTGATTTCTCTCTCCAAAACCAAAATCCCCTCCAGCTGCATGCAGTCCTGCTTTCCAGCCCTGCCCTGTCTGCTCATTCGTCCAGAGTCTCCCAGGTGGTCTGTAGCCAACCCCTTGGCCTTGGTTTGGAGTGATGGTGCTTCCCTCAGCCAATGAGGCTTGAGACTTCTGTGGCCAATAGTCTGTTCCTGTTCCAGAGTGGCGTTTGCCTAATGCAGTAGGAGTTGGACATTTGATAGCCAATCTCTCACAGTCACCTCACTCCCACAATTGTCTATGCCAGTTTTCCCTGGGAGGGTCTCTACCCAGTCCCACATCCCCATCCCCTAAACATGCTTGTCCTCAGGTCACCATCTGTAAAATGGAGATAATAGAACTTACCTCACAGGTGCAGGCACTAGGGGTGCTGGGGGTGCAGTAGCATCCCCTGGCTTGAAGTGGTTTCCATCATATCCAGGGTTTACAGTTTGGTTCAATGGCTCCCAGTTCCCCCACTGGACAAATTGTTCCAGCCGCCCTGCTCACGGGGTGTTTTGGGGATAATTAGCTAATGTCTGTAAGATGTTTGAAGACATGATGCTCTGTAGAAGTGCTACATATCACTATTTCAAATGGACTACAGGCCAAATCCTGCTCACCTTACTCATGCGAAGAGCCCTCTTGACTTAAATGGGGTTCCTCATTTAAGTACTGTCAGCTGAGCATGATTTGGTCTTTGGAGCAGAAATTAAACAATTTAGTTTGTTCATTCTCAACGCCGAGTGAAGCACAAAAAGCAAACAAACGGAATCAATGATGAAAATTAAATTCTGTTTTCAGAGTAATGTCTGTGTTAATTTAAAGCAAAGAAATATAGTTTATAAAAACATGATGTAACTTCAATGGGTTTACAGGGCACAGTGATTTTTAACCTGACAGTGTGACTGGGATTTAGCTGCCAGTGTTGGGACTTGTTTGCATTATTGCATGGAGGTAGAAGAGCATGAGTTATAAATAGTCTCCTTGGCTTTATTGTTCAATTGTAATTACAAATATCTGATCATCACCGAGGTAAGACAAACATCCCCTGGTCATCTACTCTTATGAGAAAGGTCTTTAAGGAGCTGTAAAGGATCTCTGATGTACAATTCCCAGCAAATCCTGGAGATGTTTCCATAAGGAAAAGACTGCACTAAATGGCTTACAAAGGTAAAATAATCCATTACAAAGTCATGAAAAACTATAAAATAAATAATGATCTTCCGTGAAACAGCTGATCTCCGGCTAGATGTGCTCAGGCTTTTCCAGCCTAACTCTGCACGTGTTACTGACAAAACAGTTCCGAACAAGAAAATCAGCAGAAGAGCTCTGGCTGATGTCTCACAGACATGACCGGGCCAGGGTTGCAAGGCAACATGCTGCCCATTCCTTCTGGGCAGAGAATTGTCACAACACCGTGGATGTAGCTACAGCTGCTGCCTGGGTGCTGGTGGGGAACGTGCTGGCATAGTACTTCTTCTGGGAACGTAAGAGAGGTGTCTGCGTGTCGATGTCACGGCAAGCATTGCGTTTCATGCAGCGGAACATGTGCTGGGTCCACCCATAAACGATGCAGTTTAGGAGCCCCTGGGAAGCTGCTGTTAGAGCCTAGGAGAGAACCCAGAGCGTAAATCTCTCTTTCCACACAGCATAGGATATAACCCTGCCCTATGCAGCTTCCTGCACATCAGGTTTGGTTAATTTCTAATCCCTAGGTTTCACCATGCCCATTGGGCCAGGGTCTGTACTAGACTCAGAGCTGCAGTTCTGTTACTGGATTCAGTTAACCCATAGAAGGATACATTTCCAAGGAAAAGCAGTATTTCCTTGAAATTGGAATGAATCAGAACTCCCACTGACTTGAGCGGGCTTCGGATCAAGCTTTAAGTGTGCTTCAGCACACGTACACGACCTTTTGGAATCTGTGCAGGATCCTTCCACCTGTCCTGTTTTCAAAGTGCCCTCAAAGACTGTGCCCACAACCTGTGTGGGCACAAATAGGTAGGTAGAAGCTCCACTCCACAGCAGATGCTTGTTGGCAGCCACCCTGGAGTTTATGTGCCATGGTCAAGGCCAGTTTCAAAATCTGTCTGTAGCCGTTCCACTTTGAGCTCTCACCACACTCAGTGGAATCGAGTTTGTTCGGTGCTTAGATGAGGAAACCACAGGCTGCTGCAGAAAATGATATTTATGATTCAGTAGCTGGCCCTCTTCCCTCTGAGGCAGTATTGACCCCTGTGTGGTGCGAGGGGAATGCTGTGCTGCTGGAGTTGTCATCTTTTGAGTGAGATGCCAAACCAAGGCCCTGACCACTCATGGTTATAAAACCCCCACTGGTTCTTTTCACAAAAGGATGATTGTTAACTCTGATGTCCTGGCCAAATGTCAGGGTAATCATTTTGTCTCCCTGCATTTTCTCTGCTCTTTCAGTTGGAGACAGGATTCTTCATGTCTTCCTGGCCTCAACTGCAGTGTGGTGATGTTCTGGGCTAGGAAACAGCTGCTGGGTTCTAACTCAGGGGCAGCTGCCATTCAGTGGGAGGGGAAATGATCCCTGGGTATAGTTTGTGTATCGGAGTGAAGTTTGCAAAATGCTTTGGGGAGTCCTAAGGGGAAGAAAAGCACTACAGAAATGTAAGCTAATCAATACCTGGCCCTAAGAGATTCAACAGTTTGCACCTTTGTCTGTTCATAAAACTGTGCCTCCGTTTTTCTTTGAGTTTTGGATCTGTCTACATCCCAGTGTGACAGATGAATTTAGGAATCTTTTAGTGCCCACTGCTAACTGTAGCTTCAGTGGCATCAAGAGAAAACTCCTGGTTAACAGTGTCACAAACCAAGGTTAGGCATTCAGGTTCTGTAGAAACCCATACAGCAATATTCAAGGGGACCCAAATAAAGTTCTTTATCTCAGGGTCTGCATTTGACCTATTCCACCAGGGTTTTTAATGCCTTAGGACTCCATTTATGGACCAGAATAACATAAGATCTGATCTTCTCACAGTGTTTCCAGCACCTAGAAGCCCTAATAGGGCTCCTAATAGAGGAGACTAGCTCTTACTTATTTTCGTTCTTGCGACCTTAAAAAGCATGTAAAAAACAAACATATGGACAACTACAAAGAGCCTTCCTCAATTCCATCCATAAATCAGACACAAGCTCATCTGGGCACTGTCTGTGTGGGTGGAAGCAGACTGTACGTTTCCTGTTGGAGTACAGAACCAACCAAAAGCTCACATGACTGACAAAGAAGAGAAGACAAGTTCTAATAAGAGATTTCAGCCTGGAGGGATTTACCTGTAGAATATAAAGAGCCATGCAGATTCTGCTGTTCACTGAAACAGTCAACTTCACTATTCCGAGGAGGACGGCTGTGAAAGGGATTGATAAAATGATATTGCTTTAGCCTTCATTCTTTCCAGTTACTATTACTACCTCTCTCCCTATGCCTATTGGCCAGAACACGAGGTTTAGAACCTGGCAGAAGTAACCTAGCTCTCTACTAACCTGGGCCCCAACAACAGAAGAAAGCGATAGGGTAGAAAACCACTTGTTGTTCCACTATCTTTATCATTGCCCACTGTTGATCACCCAGGAATCCTGTTGAGTTTATGAACCTTTTGTACAAAGCTCGGGCTTGGATGAGAAGAACCTAGAAAAGAAAATGCATTGATTACTTAAATACAACTGTATGATTCCTTGTGTCTCATGTACTGGCTGATTTAAGAAGTATTCATCTAGTGCCTCAAAGCACTAGTATACTGTTCATTGGTTGTTCTTCATGTGGTACTTATTTAATCTAAGAAATATCTGGAAAATAGACACTGCAGTGCCAGATCAGAGCAAGGGTCCATTTAGTCTGGTATCCTGCCATCAGCAGTGGCCAGTAACACACTTCTGAAGACAGTATAATGGACAATTAATGTCATAACTCATCTATGAGAGAAGTTGTGGTTGATTTATGCTTTAATGCATGAGAGTTGATTCCAATTATGATTTGTATTCCAGCTAGTGTAGCAGCAGATAATATAGCTGGACTCCAGGAAACAATGAATCACTCTTAACATGTTTTAAAACAAATTATCCCTCTTCTGTATGAGATGCAAGATTGAAGTCCTGACCACTTGCAGTCATTAAATATCATCTGGGACATGTGTTAACCCTGGTATCCTGACCCAATTCTAAATAATACATTCTGCCTGTATTATCAGTTGGATTCAATATTCTTCTTCACTTCCTGCCTTATACTGTTGTATAATGTTGTTGTGTGCTGTTAAATAGTTGCTGCCTTCCACCTCAGAGGAAGGGGCATTTCAGAGGTGGGTGGAATAATTCATGTGCCCACAGAGGGCTATGTTTTTTTGGGTGGAACTTCTGCAGATATTCAGTGGGAAAGGGACAGTCACACACAAACTAAATAAAACATGCATTTATTTTAATAATTTATATTCTGCCCCTCACCCTGGCATCTAGGCACATCACACACAAAAACCAACATTAGTTTATAACTACCCACAGAGAGAAGCAATACTACCCAGCCTCAGAGGAGAACAGGAGAAAGGAAAAGAAAATGCCTTTATAATTCGGACCTGGTCAAGCAAAGGCCTGGCCCAAAATAATAAAAACAACAATGCCTAGTTCTTATATAGAGCCTTTCATCAGCAGATCTCAAAGTGCTTTACAAAGGAGGTCAGTATCACTATCCCATTTTATAGATGGAGAAACTGAGGTACAGAGAGGAAAAGTGGCAGTGCCCAGGTTCCTCTATTCAAGGGGGTGAATCTAGGGACTGCTGATATGGTCCATCAGTGATTTTAAAGTGGCTTAGGGACCATCTCTGTATAAATGTCAGTCACTATCATCCTTGCAACTCACTTTTTGATGGACAAGGACAATATTTCTTACCATAATGGCTATGAAGCTGATCAGGAAGGAGACCAGGAAGACTCCAACGCCATAGAAATATATCACAGAACAAACAGAGACACCATGGGTTTGCAGTTGGCCAGTGAGCATGGCCGTTTCTGTGTGCATCAGGAGACACCTGCAGTCAGAAAGGGGACAGCCTGAGTGTTTACTTTCATCAGTCTCAGAGGAAGCAGGGCGCTCTCAGAGGTGGGTTGCAGCTTACCCGTTGTTCTGGCTGAAGTTCTGGTAGCAATCATTGCTGTTGCCCAGACAAAACACAGGAACCATTAATAAGAAAGGGATGACGCTGAGGGGGAAAAAGGACAATAGCTCAGTTACAACTGCCCTCTTATACTTGCCCTCTCTTCTGTCTCTATTGAGAGGTCGTTTTGCTTTTTATGGAGAACAGCCTGAAACAGTATTTTTCTAGCACTCAAGTGTTATAGCCTATAGCTTCTGTGTGGCATAAAGAATGGGCCACGGGTAATGGAAGGAATTGTACCTGGTTAGCTGAGAGCAGAATTTGTCTCAATGTGTTTTCAGATTCTATTATTGACCATCTCAAAAGAACATGATATCATCTCAACATACTACTGTTAGTATCAATAATGCTTTATGTCCTCAAAGAACTTTAGAACCATTAATTAATCCTTGTTAGATAGGTAAGGGACAACAGTAACAAATTCGTGGCAACCCAAGGTTTAGTGACTGTCACCATGTCGCATATCATGGCCACTTGAACTTCATGGTGACAGTGAAAATACGACCTTGAGCCTCCGAAGGGGGAATATCCATTAGCTGTTGGCAGCATGAGGCCAATGACACACTGGTGAGCAAAGTCCTGATTCCATGCTCTGGAGGGAAGATGTGTATATATATATACCCACGCACACACTCTCTCATGTGCTCGTAAAAGTTGGCTCATTGCAGTCTGAGTCATTATAGCTAACTTGAATGGAGATCAAACAATTTGTAGCTGAGAATCTGGCTCTTTGAGTTTTGTAAGCCCAGAATACCATGATTACCAAGTTACAGGAAACACAGTCAAGTTTGAATAAGATTTGTTTCTAAATAAAGAATAGTTTGGGTCTAAAACACTCAAGTTTATTATAAACATCTAACACTGTCAGAGAGAACTAAGGCCTACCTGGACAAAATTGTTGCTATTCGGCCAATGCGATTTGCATGATCTAAAACCTGTAAAGATGAAAACGCTTAGTTAAACGATCATTCCTTATATTTCAGGACAACCATCATTTAGTTACATTTCAGCCAGGCTCATCAAAACAGGAATTCTGAATAGCTCAGTGCACGAATTCTCAGTAGGGATACAATGCCAGTCTTGAGTAAGGTTGCCAATTTTGTTTGGACATATTCCTGGATGTTTCATCACATGACATAATCTTTAATTAAAGATTAATCTATAATTCTTGGAGACTCCAGGACAATTCTGGAGGGTTAGCAACCCTAGTCTTGAGGGATTACTGGAGGGAAAGTACCCAGATTACTAGTGTAAATTCAAAGGTCAACATTTTGGCTTGCTGAGAGCACTAGTCTCTCACAGAAACTCCTGCACTCCTCTCCAGGAATGATTCTCATGTAGTCATTTTCCTCCAGAAAAGCCACCCGACTGTGTGGCTGTCAGAGAACTCTGACTGCTCTGAAAAATGTTACAGAGAAAATGGGCCAAATTCTGAGGTCAGTGACATAAATAATGGGTTAAATTACACAGCCGTAAATGGGCATCAATTGTACCAGTGAGTGTAAATTGAAGGGGAGAAATGGAAGGCAGGATTGCACCAGGAAAAACCACAATCACGTGCGTGTATGACAGAGCTGAGGAGTGCTTTATTTTAAAGCTTCCTACATCTCCTGCCTTAGTTGTTTTCTCCTGCTACAGGCCCAGCCTTTCATCCTGCTGGCATGTAAACCACACCATCGAATACTCATTCCCCGGACTACATCATGGCCCCAGTGAAATCAACGGGAATTTTGCTCGACCAACTTTCACCGACTAACCAACACGTGACTTTCCTGCCACCTGAAGATTTGTCCCTCATTTGTCAGTTTATCAGGTCACATTAAGGAAAGGACAAGAAACATGGATGCATGTTTAGTCTTGATGCTCTCTTCCTTGGGAAGCCTATGAGACTCTGGTGTTCCAGAGACAGCTATGAGTATATGTTTACCAGATGCTGTAATAAATATTAGTATGAGAATCCATGAAAAGGGCCAGAAAACAAATTAGAGCTGCTCATTGTATGTGGACTAACATTTTCCTCCTTTGGAGAATGAGTCAGTTTTTAATACTCAACATACTCTGAACCAAATTCCCCTTTATTTCCATGACTGGGTACTTGCCCAAAACAGAAGGGAGTTATAAATAATAAGACTTAGAGAACTTTATAAGATCAAAATGCTTTAAACATTCATTAATCTCCATATCAGACCATACCAGAGGTAGGTAACTATTTGAAATCAGCTGCTCCTGGCTCTCAGAACTGTGTTCAGATCACTAGGTCACACCTTTCTTTGGCCACGCTTACAAGATGAGGAGGTATTTTCCCAGTGTGGGCTCATGGCAAAGAACTTTTTATTGAGTCAAACTGAAGGGTGCACAATGCACTGGGGAGTGCATGATGCAATGGAAATTAACCTGGGGAGTTGTGCAGCTGCTTCTTCCACCAATTTATTGAATGGCTTCTCCTCCAAAGCTAGAGGATTCCAGTTTTCAGAAGCAAACTGGAAAAGTAACAGACTTTTGATGAGATCTTTGCATGTAGCTTATTTATTTTGTGCAGCATAACTTGGCACAGTCCTGCAGAAGCGTAATGAAGCTCTGAAGAGAAGCACAAACAATTCTGCCTGTTGGAGACTCTGCTCGCTGGGAGATGTATTGTGGGTGCTGGCACCAATTTGCCTTTAGGAAAGGGTAGAATTATCCCACTCTGCAAAAATACAACACAATCCTGTGCTGCAGTCATGGATCATCATTCCCATTTTATAGCTGGGAAAACTGAGGCACATAGCCATGAATACATTAGCACACAGCGTGATTTCCCTTTTAAGATCAGGCATTTAACTGGTATCACTCCTTCCTCTTCCCCCGTGACAATCTGTGTCCCTGTATTCACCCCTTGCACACTATTATAATAATCTTTGTGCAAGTATGCCTTGTGCACTATCATTGGAAAACTCATAACTCACGGGTCTATAACATCCTGATAAAATATATGTGGCAACACTGTATGTAAAGTTATAAGATTTCACTGTATGGTGTTACTGAGGCTTTGTCTACACTAGCAGTGTACAAGGCACCACAGGTCAGAGAGCTGAGGTGACTCAGCTGTTCATCCGTCCAGATTGTGCCCTGGGAATGTCACATCCCCTGAGTCTGTCTTTTCCAGACGCATGTAGGCAGGGAAAAAGGGACAAGATGGAGCTGTTGGGGTCTGTGGGCAAAAGAGGCCCTCAGGTTATCTCACCACTTTTGAAATACTATGCGAGGTTCATAATATTCCTGAGGACAAGAAAGTCCCCACACTGATTGCAAAACTGTCTGGTAAAGCTTTCAATGTCTTTAATGAAATGCCAATTCAGGAAGCGTCGAAATACTCTGAATTTAGGAAAGCTGTTTTGCATAGATTTCAAATTACTCCTGAAGTGTATAGGTTGAATTTTAGAAATCTGAAAAAGGGTACCGGCATGAGTCATAGTGAATATGCTTATAAGCTGTGTGACCTAGTGAGAAAATGAGAAAAGGGAAAAGGGGCTGAGGATTATGGCCAATTAGCTGATCTCTTTGCTCAAGAACATTTCTTAAGTATACGCAATGAAGATGTAAGCAATTGCCTGTAGGACAAATCTTTAAAATCTGTATTAGAAATGGCTAATGTGGCTGATGCATTTGTATGAACCTAGATATCCAATGAGCACAAGCCACAGAAGGAGGGGCCCAAATCCAGTGTAAAGGGGGATCCTGTTTTACCCCTGCGAAGAAGGAGGGTGGTTGGGGGCCTACGCCCTCAGCCTCCCTCCCTCCCACTCCCCCCAGAATTGTTCCCCCCTGCAAATCCCCATCACAAAACTCCTGTGAAGTGGGAGGGTCCAAAAAGGTGTTTCCAGTGTAACTCCACTGAGCACCTGAGAAATCAGTGCCCTGAGCTAAAAGACACTAAGCCCCATCCAACCCATGTTAATGCAGCTGTTCTTAACACAGGAGCGCCAGAGGCACTCCCAGGTTATACAATGAGTTTTGTGAGGGCTGACCCAGAGGGGTAGATATGGAATTTATCAAGGTTGCCAGCGTGAATAACATAGAGTGCATAGGGTGGAGAGACACTGGTGCACAGATTGCTCTGGTCAAGGAAAGCATGCTCCAAAAGACGGACATGTTACATAACCAAAAGGTGGAGCTTCTGGCAGTGGGTGGACATAAGATTCCTGTACCTTTAGCTAAGGTGCATGTGGAATGGGAAGGTTTAGAAGGTGATTTGACTGTAGGAGTGCTGGGTAGTATCCCTGTTGACTGTGCACACCCAGTACCATGAGGAATTAATGTTGTTAGCACATTACTATCCTTTTTCTGGTCACTTTGGGGCACAGAGAACCTATGACAGGTTAAAGAAAAAATTGTTCTGGCCAGGAATACAGAATGCTGTGAGGAATTACTGCAGATCTTGTGAATTAAGTCAAAAAAGGTAAAGACCTGCAGGACCCCAGAAATTTCCTCTATACGCCTTGCCTGTAATACAAGAGGCATTTCTGAGGGTAGCAATGGACATTGTGGGTCCTATGTAGGGTTGCCAACTTTGGTTGGACGAATTCCTGGAGATTTCATCACATGACATAATCTTTAATTTAAAATTAATCTTTAATTCCTGGAGACGCCCGGACAATCCTGGAGGGATAGCAACCCTAGCCCTATGCCATGTCCTATCTGTAGAGGGAATAAATATATCTTGGTGATGGTGGATTTTGCCACTAGATATCCTGAAGCAGTAGCTCTGTCTAACACTGAGGCAGAATCTGTAGCAAGAGCCCTTTTCACTATCCTTAGCAGAGTGGGTTTCCCTAAAGAGATTTTATCTGACCATGGGACATATTTCATGTCTCAGCTATTCAGTGAGCTATGGAAATGATGTGGGGTGAAACAACTAAAAGCTGCCTCATATCACCCAGAAACCAGTGGGACCCTAAAATCCATGCTGGGAATGTATACAAATGGGTTCAAAATTAGGATGAATTATTACCATTTTTGCTGTTTGCTTATAGGGAGGTACCTCAAGAATCAAAGGGGTTCTCCCTATTTGATCTCCGATATGAAAGGAAGGTGAGGGGACCCCTAGATCTCATCAGAGACTTCTGGGAAGGGGACACTGAGGTAAAGGAAGAGACAGTAACTGAATATGTACAAAGGCTCAGAAAGGAGTTAAAAGACGTGATGGGTATTATTCAAACTAACCTCAACGACAGGCAATCCAAACAAAAAGTGTGTTATGATAAAAATACTTGTAAACACTCCTTTGATATAGGAGATTTTGTGTTGGTATTAAGTCTTGTGAAAAAGTACAAAATGCAAAATTCTTGGGAAGGACCCTTTGAGGTGACAGAAGTGGTAAATGTAGATTCATATGTTAAAAAGCCTCATGGTGATGCTGTCCTACAACTAGTACATGTAAACAGACTTAGAGCCTATCACAATATGGAAGCCATGGTAAACATGATCTGCTGCAGAGTAGGGGAAACTGAGGCAACCTCATTAATCTGATGGCTGAATGCCAAACTGACTCAGCTCTGGAAAGCATTGATATCTGCAGTGCATTAAGACCAGTTGAAAAGGCAGAGGTGTTGGCAGTGCTGCAAAAACAAAAAGAAGTGTTTTCTAACAAGCCAGGGAAGACACACTTGCTAACTCACAAGAGCATCACAGAAGGACCACAGCCACCTCACAGCAGACCCTAAAGGGCCACTGGCAAGATGCAAGAACAAAGTTGTGCAGAAATATAAAGCATGTTAGACTTAAGAGTAATTAAAGAGTCTGACAGCTCTTGAGCATCACCTGTGATCTTCCTCCTTAGAAAAAACAGCACTGTAACAATGCGGTCACAGTACCAGATGAATATCCCATGCCTAGAACTGATGATATGCTGGACATTTTAAGCAAAGCTAAATAGCTGACTCATGATTATTGGCAGATTCCTTTAGATACGGATGCACAGAAAAAAAATCTGCTTTCATCACTGATATAGGAGTCTATGAGTTCACAATGTTACCGTTTGGTTCAATTAATGCTGGAACCACCTTTCTGAGGCTGATCAACCATGTGTTAAATGGTTTACAGAACTTTGCAAGGGCATAGGTGGATGACACCGCAGTTTAGCAACCCTTGGGCTGATCACAAAAAACACTTGGAAATTGTGCTGTCAAAACTCAAAGAGGCAGGCCTACCCATAAAAGCCTCCACGTGTAAAATTGGAGCAGCCAACGTCCCTTTTTTGGGACACTGGGAAGAGGGAGGTCAAATATCCCGATCCCTTAAAAGTTGAAGCCATTGTAAATAGGCCTGTGTCTCTACCAAGAAACAGGGCCAATCTTTCATAGGTCTAGTAAACTATTACAGAAAGTTTGTGTGCGGGTTCAGTGACTTTGTATCTGCAATCACTGATCTATTTAAAAAGACTAAACCCAACAAGGTCATTTGGACGAAGGCATGCCAGGAAGGATTTGATAAGGTAAAGAAAAGCTTGTCTGAAAAGTCTGTTCTAGCTAGTCCAGATTTTGACAAAATGTTTGAACCATGTGCAGATGCATTACGCGTTGGTCTAGGTCAGTGGTCTCCGACTTTTTTACGCCCAAGATCACTTTTTGAATGTAAGGACAACTCAGGATCTACCCCACCCCTTCCCTGAGGCCCCGCCCTTTCCCCAAAGCCCTGTCCTGCTCACTCCATCCCCCCCATCTCCATTGCTCACTCTCCCCTACCCTCATTCACTTTCACTGGGCTGGGGCAAGGGGTTGGGGTTCAGGAGGGGCTGAGGGGTTCGCAGTGTGAGAGGGGGCTCTGGGCTGAGCCTGGGGCAGGGGGTTGGGGTGCAGGAGGGGGTGAGGGGTGCAAGCTCTAGGAGGGAGTTTAGGTGCAGGAGAGGACTCCGGGCTGGGGCAGAATGTTGGGGTGTAGGAGGGCGTATGGGGTGCTGGTTCTGGGAGGGGATTCAGGGCTGGGGCTTGGGGTGCAGGAGGGGGTATGGGGTGCTGGCTCCGGAAGGGGGCTCAGAGATGGGGGTTGGGGTGCAGCCTCCCACCGGGCAGCACTTACCTCTAGTGGCTCCCGGTCGGCAGCGGGTGCAGCGAGGCTAAGGCAGGCTCCCTGCCTACCCCGCCCCCACACCACTCCCGGAGGGGGCCAACACACCCCTGAGGCCCTTGGGATGGGGAGAGCGGGGGGCATGTGGCTCCACACGCTGCCCCTCTCTGCAAGCGCCGCCCCCACAGCTTTCCCAGCCAATGGGAGCTGCAGGTGCGGTGCTTGCAGGCAGGAGCAGCGCATGCGGAGGGCGACCCCTTTCCCCCCGCACCCCTGGGGCCACGGGGCTGCAGTGGCCACTTCCGGGAGCAGTGTGGGGGGCAGGGTAGCCTTAGGCAGCCACACTGCACTGCCGCTGGAGATCGCAATCGACCTGTTGGTGACCACTGGTCTAGATGCTGTGCTGATGTAAACGGGAGAATAAGAAGCACCCAGTTGCTTTCTTAAGCAAAAAATTGACACCCACTGAACAGAATTATTCTGTCTTAGAAAAGGAATGCTATGCCATAGTGTGGGCAGTCAAGCAATTAAGGCCCTATCTTTTTTAACAGAAAGTTCAGGGTCCTAACAGATCATTCACTATTAATCTGGTTAAACAAAACTAAAGGCTCAAATTCCAAGCATCTACGCTGGAGCCTTATACAGCAAGAATTTGATATGGAAATTGTGCATATAAAGGTTAAGGAAAACATGGTGGCAGATGCCCTGTCCAGGAAAGATGCCCCTGACCTGCTGCCTCCAGGGGCTAACCCTCTTGCAGCTTTATTAGGGGGGAGGTGTGACTGTCTGTACCCCTGTATTCACCCCTTGCACACTATTATAATTATATTTGTGCAAGTGTGCCTTGTGAGGTATTATTGGAAAACTCATAACTTGCTGGCCAATATTGTCCTGATAAAGTATGCGTGGCACACTGTATGTAAAGTTATAAGATTTCACTGTATGGTGTTACTAAGAAAGGTACCAAGTCTGTGGAGCGGCCAAACCAGCTCCCCAGAGACAAAGGACAAGATGACGCCTCAGCCAGGTGTAAAAAGGTCAAATGGTGTCTCCCTTTCTCTCTGCCCATGGCATCCACAACAGCCGACGAACAAAGGAAGCAGCATTGGACTGGGGGAGGGATCCTGACTGAAGGAAGTTCAGCCAGTAGGACTGCTGAAACGTGTGCTGGGGGAGACTTTGCTTTGAATTCATTCTTATTTGTTAAGTTAGGCATTAGCTGCATTTCACTTTTATTTTTCCTGTAACCAATTCTGACTTTTATGCCTCATTACTTGTATTCACTTAAAATCTCTCTTTTTGCAGTTAATAAACTTGTTTTATTGTTTTATTTAAACCAGTGTGTTTGAACTGAAGTGTTTGGGAAACTCCATTTGGGATAACAGGGTTTGTGCATATCATTTTCTATTAACAATGTCCAGGAGGGAGGTGGGCACTACAAGACGTACATTTCTGGGGAAAGCCCGGGACTGGAATTCACTTGCATCGCTCTGCACTGTAAATCAAGAGTAGCTGGCTGCAGCACTCACAATATCCCTGGGAATAATTTACATCCTGGAGGCTGTGTGAGCAGACCAGGAGTGGTAGCTACCACAGCAAAGTAGTGTAAAAGGCATCCCAGGTCAGAGAGCTGAGGTGACACAGCTGTTCATCCGTCCAGATTGTGCCCTGGATATGTCACATCCTCTGAGTCTGTCTTTTCCAGATGCATGTAGACAGGGAAGAAGGGACAAGATGGAGCTCTTGGGGTTTTTAGGCAAAAGAGGCCCTTAGGTTAAGATGGTTTATTAGTGTTAGTGAGGCCAGAGTTGTCCACGTGGATTGAGCCCTAAATCTGAAATAAAGAGAGATGTGACAGCTAAGCACAGAAGGACTAGAGATGGTCTCAAGTCACAACACTCAGAACTAAGTTTCACACACCCCAGAGTTTGGGCGGCTTATTATTAGAAATAAAAAATCTGAAAAGAAATTTGGATCTGAAAGTAGGGACTAGTGAAGAAAGGAAAATATCGCCCTCGTGAGCCGATCCAAAATCTAAGAATGGAAGTTCTCAAAAGTGCATTTTAATCTGTCAAGTCTGCTGCTCCCCAACAGACATGCAGAACGGGAGCCATCTGAGGAATTTAACTCTATGATGTGCAGGGTGACGTCTTTGTGACTTCTCGATTGGGAAGAGGAATGATATGCAGAAATTTAGCCAGTGTGTTCATTGGGATGAGCTGTATAAGTGTATAAAGAGCCTGTTGTTCTGCAGCAATACATCAAGAGGAATTCTCAGAGAGATAGAAGCTGCTCAGAGAAAAGTCAGGTGCGAACAACAAGGAAACTGCTCTGAAAAGATTGAGTTTGGTCACAGGGTGTGTGAAGTGTTTGTTTAGCCTGTACTCAAAGTGTGTTTTTCTGAGGACTGTTTCCTTGTCCTTCGCGCCCAAAGATTACACTTGATCTTGAAGAGCCATTTTTAAAGGCTAATGACGATAGTAGGGACCCCTTCTCCACAGAGCTAATCTGTCCTGCTCCAAGTATGAATAGTACTTTAAATGCCAGCTCACTTCCATCGCACCGCTCACCTGACACTCTTAAAGCACTTCACAGACATTCATGAATGGAGCTTTACCACACTCCTGTGAGATACTCAGTAAGTATTATCCCCATTTTAGAGCTGTGGAAACTGAAACACAAGGGCATTAAGGTCCATCTTTGAGCCTTTTTCCATGCTGCTCATGCCCGGACTGCCTCCCCACAATTCTGGCTTGTCAAGCCACATCCTTTTCCTGCAAATCCCTCCTTGAGATTTGTTTCTTCTGCAATGTCCACCAGAAGTGGGTTAGTGACAATAATAAACCACTCAGGGCCAGATGCTCAGCTGGTGTCAATAGTGGAGTTCCACTGACTTTAAGAGATCTGGCCCTCCCAGTTATTCTTTCCTCCTGAGACTTACTGTGCAACTTGTCTTCTCTGTTTTGGACTTTCAGGCCTAGTCCTACAATCAGAACACAAAAGCAGATCCACGACTAGCCCCTGTTGACTTCAATGGCTCTGTATGGGCACAGGCACCAACCCACACAGAATCAGCTGCAGGATCGGGGCCTTAGATTGTGAGCTCCTTATGGCGAGAATTGCTGTTATGTTTATGCTTGTACAGCACCGAGCACAGTGTTAGTTCTTAACATATAATAATATGAAAAACTGCCAAGGTGGCACTCACCAGAGGGGACATGCTGTACAGGTTCTGATTGTATTTTACCTTTAAATCCACGTACAGATGCCAGGTATAGTTGACAGTGTACAGAAAAGAGGCTACATAAAAGATCTGAAAAATAAAAACAGGCAGTATTTTATTCCATCAGTAATCATTTGCGCTTTCTATAGCACCTTAGCTCCTTTCATCTCCAATGAACCCAGAGCACGTGACAAAACTACACTGGACAAGCTATAAAAACGAGACCTGAGAGAGTTTAAGGTGAAATATAAAAGCACTCAATAGGTGCTCAGCTATCATAGTGCTGAGCATGGCAGAAATGCCTGGCGAGCTAGATACAGAAATCAGGACATGCCAAAAATTAAGAGGCTGATTCTGGCCCGTCTCCTGAGCTCGTATGCTGCTCCAGTGGCAGTAAAGGAGACACAAACGGCTGGGGGAGAATTTCCTGGAGCAGCACAGGGCTGAAGTAGGCAACCCAGCACTGCCTCCTTCACAGGCCCCAGCGAAGGGGCTAAGCTGGGGGCATAGACATCAACTTCCTCCGTTCCCAGGGGGTGTTCGACCCCCACTCTTCCCCAGGCCTCGCCTCTTCCCACCCCGCCCCCACTCCACCCCTTCCCCCAAGCCCTCACCCCGCCTCTTCCTTCTCCTGCTCCTCCCCCTCCCCCCAGCACCTTCTGAACACAGCTGAACAGCTGATCATGCTGAACACCCACCATATTTTTTCTGTGGGTGCTCCAGCCCCGGAGCACCCATGGAATCGGCAAATATGGCTGGGGATGGAGCTGGGATCAGAAGGGAGCATGCCCATAGCATCCAGCACCATGACACAGCTCATAGGCAACTGTGGGAACGCTGTCTTAAATTAGAGCAGCCCCCAGCGCTTACGTCAGGGACCAGTCTGACCCCCACAGCAGTCCAAAATCGAGACAGTCCAAAGTTGGCTTACAGCTATCTTGGTCCTCATCCCCCTAGGCTGTGCCTTCTGTGCTGTCTCTCTCAGGAGACAACACAGACTCTGCGGCTAAATTTGCTTCCATTATGCTGATCTGGCCACACTGTCAGCTTCCCTTGAATTGGTGAGAATAACAAACCATAGTGCATTTAAGGAAGACAGCAGCAATGGAGAATGTGCAAGAGAGAAATAAGAAATCTAGAGCTATTTGGTCTGAGGTGTTTTCCAGCCCCGCCAGCTCTGAGAATCACCTTTGGACTGAGACCAAGCATAGAAAATCTGAACACAAAAAGAATTTGTTTGAGGAAGTTCTGGGCAACTGGAAAAAGAAATTTCTCTTACATTGTTTGCTGTGACATCATGGTAATGTCTGGATGGGTGCCCATCCAGGACACCCCAGTGGCAAACAGGTTCAGACAAGTGACTGGGTGTCCAACTAGTGTAGGCGAACCACAATTTTTTTCCCTGGAAGTTCTCAACTAGGGAAGCATGAGCATGCATAGCAGAGTGGGAGGAGGAACTGGATGAGAAAATCCTTCATCTGGATTGGCTACCTCCTGCTTGACTGAGGTGAAGAGGACTCAGTGTCAATCCTGGTGTCACCCATTGGCAATCCTCATGTCACCTCATCATGGGAGACTACTGATGAGGTAAGAGACACTGGGTTTCTTGCTTCACTGGATATGTCTACACGGCAACTAGTCACCCACAGCTGGCCCAGTCGACTCAGGCGTGTGGGGCTCTGGATTTAGGGCTGTTTCATTGCTGTGTAGATGTCTAAGCTTGGACTGTGGCCCAGGCTCTAGGACCCTGTGGGGTGGCAGGGCCCCAGAGCTTGGGATTCAGCCTGAACCTGGAAGTCTACACCGCAATAAAACAGCCCCGCAGCCTGGGCCCCACGAGCCAGAGTCAGCTGGCATGGGCCAGCCATTGGTTTTTTCTTTGTTGTGTAGACATATTCACTGAGGCCACAAATGTTCTTAGCCATTGCTAAGAAGGTCAAGAGAAGTGACGATTGCTTTGCAGTAAAGTATGTTGCAATGACTCTCCGGCTCATTATAGGATTTTTAATAAGGAACCATTGCCCTTCTCAGTGCCTTCCATGGGAGGCTCTCAAAGCACTCTACAAACATAACTCATTTGACTTCTTATCTGCCTCCCAGCCCCCGAGAGCTAGGTCAATGTTATTACCCCCATCGTACAGATGAGGGCGCTAAGGCGCACACACTTAGCCAAGGCTTCTCATTGAGTCATTGGTAGAGCCATGAAAACAGCCCTGCTCTTCTAGCTTCCTATCTTCAGCTTCTGGCATTGGGGATAATCCTGCAGGCCTAAGGCCATGGTCCCCATCAGAGCCTGGCCTACAGAAATAAAGCTGGAGCGTAGGAGAAAGCAGGAGCCCTTTGTTTATCCCTCTTCAGTCGCTACTTATAATCATTTTGCGATTTTCCATTGTGCGAGCCAAACAGAGTGGAATCTACCAGAATGTTATTAGGTCATTAGCATTTAATTGGGGAAACTGTAGATGAAGTGCGTAATTACAGCATGTCATCCTCTCGGTGTTTTGTAGCATAGAATCAAGAGTTACGACCGGAAAGGGACAGCAGAGGAGAAAATATGTTACTTTTTAATTTCATTTGTTCAGCTAAGTGCTGGGGACTGAAGTGGAGGAAATTGTCAAGGAAGAGGAAATAAAACAAAAAGCCTGGGCCAAACTCATCTCTGGTGAATCATCCATTGAGCCCAATTGTAACTCCACTGACCACAGTGGCGTTATGCCAGGGATGAACTTGGCCCTGCATTTGGGGAAAGGAGCTATGACTTGTATTGTCTTCCATTTAAGAAAGTAGTAGAAATTCTATGAGCCCCACGGGTAAAGCGGAGTGGAATTATGATGCTTGTCTTTGTCTGAAAACATAAACAGGGACAATGGGGATAATACGTCTCTATCTCACGGAATGTTGTGAGGGAAAACTGTTAATGTTTGAGGAGCTCAGGCCTAAAACCTCAACGGTATTTAAGTACCTATCTCCCACTGAAATCCATGGGAGTTGAGTGGCTAAACCCATTTGAGGGTCAGGGCCTCAGAGTGATGAGCACCACTGAAAAATGAATAATCCAGTACAGGTTAGTCATGACTGAAAATGTTGTTACCATCTGACAACTGTTCAGTGGTTGATATGATGAAGTGTGTGCGGTCTCAGTCTGGCTTTAGTGCCCACACAGCACAAACCACCACCACAACTGGCACGAATTGAGCTCCTGGTTCTCAGCAGAGATGCCAAAGACTGAATGCGCCAGGCAGTCTAAACTGCCTTCTTTCCTCTTGAGGTCGTCCCTCCATGCCACATGGTGGGGCAGCAGAAGGGACCTTGCACTGCTTTCCCTTTGCACTTCATCTAAGAACACTAATAAATAACAGTCTCTTGCCCATCTCCAGCCCCTCGTGGCACTTTACAAACATTAATCAGTGCCCAAAGGAACATTCTGACAGAAGGAATGTCATTGTTATTTGCTGCACGTCTATGAAATGCAGCATCTGTGAGATTCTTGAACCCAGGACAGGGAAGGGGGGAGGTTTATTCATTTAATTAGTTTACAGCTCACGTGTGGCCTGCTGAGGTGCTGCTCAACCTGTCTCATACGTGCCTGAGTTCTCATCCCGCCTCCTCCCTGCACTGTATCTTATCACAAGACCCAAGTGAGGCAGGGGTTGCTATGGTAAGCACTCAAGTTGTTTTAATTCTCTCCTAGAGTAAATAGCAGAAAAGGATCTTGCCAGAGTGCGAGTTGGATCTGCCAGACCTAGCACCCTCACATCAGAGAGGGACTGCCTTTGTCCTTACCTGGGAACAGTCTAAGGGGCTAGTGAGTCCCCTGTAGCCCCCTTCACTGGCTATATGTGCTTGGGTAACCATGAGAGATCAGGGTAATGGATTCATTCACACTCACTGCATTCAGCAGCTGGCAGCGGTAGCATAAACATCTCAGCAGGAGCTCACTTATTGCCATCTCTCAGGTTGTGACAAAGGCAGGTGCTGATGGGTCTCTCTCATAGAGACACAGGACACGCTGTACCTTGCAGGTCCGTGTAGTCCAGTGTCCTGCCTCCAGCAGTGGCCAAGACTCTATGCTCCAAAGGAACGTCAAGTTCCCTCATTTTGCAGCTACCCTTTTAGGCTCCGTTTCCTCCAGCCTCTTGCAGATGCCCCCAAGCTGCTTTGCCACAAACCAGGGAGGCAGAGTGTGCCGTCCCCTGAATGCAGTGGTGACAGAGCATTGCCTCGAGCACACAGTCTCCTTCACTGCACTTCGGTCAAGAAGGGAGGCGTCTCTGAAGTCATTGCCAAACCCACATCTCCTGTGACGCAATACAGCGCTCTGACGCCAGGCCAACATGCATTCCAACCTTTCCCAAAGTAGTTTGGAGTAAACAGAACCAGACAAATGGCAGACATTGTCACTCCCCGGAGAAGTATGTGCCATGACAACCTAATCCCCTGACCTCTTTGAGCCATGTCTGACCAATAAGAACCATGGCCTCATGATAGTGTTCCGATGGATACTTGCATATGTGGCCTGTGAAGTGACTTCTGTCCTGCAAGCTCCCTGCAGCCACACGCCTAGTGAATCTTCCCATATAGTCACTTCTCTGCCTCAGCTCATTCTCCTTGTATAACCCCCAAGTAGACTATATCCTCATTGGCAAGGGGTCATCGCCATGCCTTCCCTAATGGCCGAATTGCATACAAACCTTTTGTTCCTTACCTCCAGGCTCAAGGTGAATGTATATCATTGTTTTTACAGCAGCATAAGAGGAGCTAGAGAGATCAGAGATAAGCTCCAAGTGGAATAGCTGCTACCTAAGTACAGTACTTGGTGTCATGAGTAATAAGAATTACCCATGTGTACTGATATTTAAAAAAAACCGACGCAAAACTATGCCACAGTAACCCGACAACCAAATACAAAACAATGTGAGCGCTCTCACCTGCTGTACATTAAGTTACCTTCCTGCCCTCTCTACAACATGCAAAAAGCCATTTCCAGCTCGGCTTGACGGAGTGGGGTGGGAGGTTTCCTGGTAGCCTACATGGAAAATGTGTGGCCTACACACCAGAACAAACCTGATTCAAGTCTGGACTGCAATATAGGAATTAAAGAAGAGAAAACCTATTAGATAATTTTCTCCACCACCCCAGGGGCCAACGTAACACTGCTCCCTACAGTGTGCTCTTCGGTACATTGCCTTGTCCTGTTCGAGGGTGCACACCCAGAGGGGGACCTCACTCTAATGGACACTGCTGGGGATGACAAAACAGTAGCTTTAGAGTTTTCAGCCTTTGTAGGTTGTTTTTTTAAAGCCGATTATAATAATAATACTTGAGTCAATATTCCAAATTAGACATAAAACTGAGCTCCTGGCTGCTTGTGGCCAGAGAGCCCATGACATTACCTGTAAGAGCGGTGGTGGTAATAGCTGTGCCTTGGCCAAACTGAAGTTCAAGTAATTAAAAGCTGCCTCTCTAAATTCTCCCTGTAGTTTCAATGGGATATCAGTCCTCTTCACTTCTCACCTTACCACTGTGGCCATGCATGGCTATGTGCTGTGAACCAGCTGCCATATTCCACCACATTGGAGTGATGGGTAAATTGATTTCCATCAATTACTGATGGAATTGGCACACAATGTAGAGATTCCTGGGCCAGTGTGAGACTTAGTTATTGCATGTGAAATTCTTTGGCTTAATGCTGATACAAGCCAGGCTGTGAACCGGGAGCTCCTCAGGGGGCAGAGAGGAAGGATTTATCAATCCCAGGCAGTGAAGAACTTCATGACCACCACTCCTGCCTCTCGAGTACAGTGGCCTTCACAACCAGCATGCTCCCTCTCCACTGGGTGAATGGCCTTGGATCTATGAAGTGACAGATCAACCAGTCCTTCCCCTTCCCCAGCCCCAAATCCAGTGTGCTGGTGGCTCCCATAGAATGGGGTCTCTGGCACATAGGCGTGAGCACCCCATGTGCAGGTACCCAAATCTTTGCCCCCGCTCCATGGAGTGGAAGCACATCAGCTCCTCTGCATCTGGGGACTTCCCTGGCCATGAAGGCAGAGGCAGGGTTTGTCATGCTAAGAGGCTTCACTGTATTTCCCAGCTAAGCTCCTTCGGCCCAGAATACAGTTCATCTTCAATTTGGCCTGCTTTTAAATAGCCCCCAAGTCCTAAATGCAAATGGCTTCCTAAATATTCTCCCCTCCTTACAGCACAAGGCATTCCAAAGCCCTATAGCCATTGGAGGGTAATGGGTTTCTGCACTGAGCTTTTGCTACTGCCACAGTGTCCCGCTTGCAGCCCCTCACACATTTCCTCTCCCTGCAGTCATTACCTGACGTGCTTCAGACGTCTACAAATCGACTCTGACAGGAGGAACCCTAATGATGCAGCGGCAACCCAACAAGACAAAAAGAACTGTCAGGAAAATGATTCCACTTCACTGAGGCCCCTGCACATGAATTCAGCACAGAATAGGACACACAGCTGACCTTCAGGGCATCAGGCTGAGCTTACCATGAGCCCAGCAGCCCACAGACAGAGTAATCCAATGGGACTGCTTGGGAGACTATTGGTATAAGGGTAACAGGAGCGGATCCCATGGGGGCTACTCATGGGAGTAAGATTTACAGGGCTGGTCCCAATGGGAATACCAGAGTTTGTTTGTTCTTTTACAGGAAGGAGGAGTGTGGAAATACAGCAGTACATTAGTCACAGAGATAGCCTTGGGTACCTGCTCAACAAGAGACGAGACCAACTCATTTAACATAGATAACTGAACACTCCCCATAGCAACCCTAAAGTTATTCTCTGTCTCTAATAGACTTTACCTTTGTAAGGTAGGTCTGTACAATTATCCTCATTTTACAGATAAGACACAGAGATCTTACCTATTAAGGTCAACCAGCAAGTCAGTGTCAGAGCCAGGATCAGAGCCCAGGGCCGCCTAACTCTCAGTCCTGTGCTCTAACCGCTAGACCAGCTCATGACATAATTCTGTGCAAAGCAACCTCACATCACAAGCTGATAACCCAGAGTTACTCACCTGACCAGTTGTTTGAAGATTATAGCAGACAACATCTTGATTTGTGGTTGGTGTGGTAGAGAGAAGAGCCCCAATGAGCCAGCACATGCCCAGAAACAGGTCAGAGAGGCTCAGGTAGAACAGAGGGCGCACCTAGAAAAGTTGAATTGATCATTTGGCTTGGTGAATATTGTACATAGTCCCACAATGGTCAGCTACAACAAGGGTTTCATTTTCACCCTCCTTTTCCTGATATACTTTCATGCCAAGCCAGCCTAAGAATGCTGCTATCCCTACACAAGGAAAATGGACTGATTTGTGCACTCGGGAGATGTTTACACCAGGAGCACCAAGATTTAATGATCATGGGCCAGGGCCACATTAGCAACTGCCCAAGAACCTGAGAGCTGCACCAAATCTGGCTCTGAAGATTCAAAATCCTATGATTTAATAAAATAGATTTCCTTTGCTGTGTTATTAGTAACATCCGTGGTGACAAACGCTGAAGTATTTTGAAAAATCCTACATTTTTCTGTCTATGGGTGTGTCTGTTTCCCTAGTACATAGCACAGCTTGGAAAATGGAATACCACTTTAGTTAGCTTGTGGTCAGTTTCTAGCCAATTTCAAGTTCTCATGCACTGGCACAAGACCACTGCATTTGAGTTGCAAACACTGCAGGGAAAGATTTACTTGTTTAAAATGATGACCACGTTTTCATTGACAGTGGGAGCTGTGGGTGGTCAGCCACTCTGAAAACCAGGCCAGTTATCTAGGTGTCTAAATGTGGATTTCAGTGCCTAACTTTCAGCATCCAGGAGTGAAAAATGTAGCCTTTTTTTCTATAGGAATTTTTAAAACTAAACAAAAGATGCAAACATTTATATAGGGCTTAGCTTTGGGAAACATTATTTATTTTATAGAACCTACATTGTGGGCTGAATTTGACCAGACATTGTCCTTTAATGAAAAATAAATGTGCATTATCACAATGTTTGCTTGAACTTTTCTCTTTCCTGAGAGATGAAGAGTCATGGCTTGTTGATTTAGTTAGTTCAGCAACAATAAAAATCTGCCAGCAGGTTGTTTTGTCCTTACTCTGTAGTTACAGATAGAGAGTGGGCGTGGATTCTGTTTAAGCTCTTTCTAGGGCATATTTTTCCTTCAGGGGGCACTCTAAGCACCTCCGTTTTATACAGTGTCTGAGAAACCAAACGTCTATCTCAAGATCTTTATTTTTATTAGCACCATACGTTACCTGTCACCCCAGTAAATCAGTGAATCAAACCTTTTATTGCTAACTAAATATCTTGAGCTAGTTTCCATCATCAGGTTCATTGTATTTATTAATCCCTCTTAAAACATTTTTTAAAACACTTGCACACATTTCTCCATGCAGAACCAAGCAGTGGGTATACAGCAGACTAGAAATCTCTGTATGGTTGTTACTGTGAGTATATTAAAAACGAACAACCCTGGAAGAAGGTAGATGACCAATTGTAATGAGTGAACAGGTGACGCAGGTCTGTACAAGTGTAGCGAAACCCAACTGTTTATCTAGTGGGTTATTTAGGTACAGGCATATATAAGGAAGTTGGAGAAGTAGGTGACGCTGTTGTTAAAGTGGAAGGCAAGCCAGTTCTTTCAGGAAGAAAAGCCAAATTGTTTATAAACTGGAGGAAGGGAATGTAAAGAAATGTAATGGTTTAGAACTGCTGGTTAGCTGGACAAAATGCGTAGCCGTTATTATATATGTTCAGACTGGGCTGGGGACTCTTTGAAGCACATCTGCTTGCATAAGAAATCCTTGTATCTTCAATGGTGCATCCACAAGTGCTCCAGGGTTAGACCCTGTTTATATTTTTGAGTCACCCTGTTTTTTCTTTATCACAAAATGGGAAATTCTTTCATTAACATGTCATGCCTTTAAACATGGTTTAGTTAATGCTGAGAGTTTTCTGGATTCTGTAGATCCAGAAAATATGTTTCAACAATTAGGCATTCAGCTGCAAGTTCTAGTGTGGAAAGATAAGTATCTATGATTCCCATACTTCTCAATAACGGGGAAATAAACCTTTCTTTTAAAAATGTTACTCTTTAAATATCATGAATCAGGGAATAATCTGATCATAGCACGCATCAGGAAGGATTCAGCCTATGCCCTTCATTGACAGAGTTGCATAACTGGTCAGGTGCATGGTGGGCGTGAGTAGGAGTGAGAGTGTATTGAGGTACTCGGCTTCCTCTGAAGCATCAGGAATCAACTACCATTCTAGGCAGAATACAAGTCTCAAAGCCTGAGACACAGTTACCAGTGCTGTGTTCTTATGTAACCAAACTAGCTCCGTCACAGTTCTTGAAATAAGACACTTTCTGACACAGATGGGATGGTCTAATCACCTCTAGACATCCGGGTTGAAATACCTGGGCTCCCTAGAGCCACTTCCTCAAATCCTAGCAGGGGTGACCCAGCCCTCATTCTTCCAAGGTAAATCAATGGAGTTCCAGGCAGTTTACTCTGTGTATTGGGTGGGCTCTTCCTACGAGATCTTAAACACTGAGGCCCTGTCTTCTCTCTGTGGATAAAAGTCCCCCATTTTGTCAGAATAAGTCCTCTAAGTTTGCAATGGACTCCTTGGCCCACACACACTGTGTTCCATGGGAGTTTTGGGTGTGTGGGTCCCATAACATGTGACATGCTTTGGAGATAAGGAAGATACAGAAATAGAAACTTTGATGTAATTATAATAGAATACAAGTTTAGAAGTACTGCTCACCTAATTTATGACAGAAAATTACTACACCTCTACCCCGATATAACGCGACCCGATATAACACGAATTCGGATATAACGTGGTAAAGTAGCGCTCCGGGGGGGCGGGCTGCGCGCTCTGGCAGATCAAAGCAAGTTCGATATAACGCAGTTTCACCTATAACGCGGTACGATTTTTTGGCTCCCGAGGACAGCGTTATATCGGGGTAGAGGTGTAGTAATTTCCCTCACCTTTCCATAAACATTGAAGTTCTTGAGTCTTATTAGTGCACAGTCTTGTGAAAAGCAAATGTTATTCAAACATTTTGATTGTAAGTGAATTATAAATTATTTCTGATTGGATCATTTGCTATTTACATTTTATTGGTTAGTTCCACTGGTCATCCAGTCAGGGAAAAGAGACACCATGTGACATACATAATCAACTAAACCATTTGAATCTCAAATATTTGCAGTAAATATTGGGGGCCATTCATATTTGGGAGAAATGCTAAGCATAAATTAATGCATCTTTTGGAATCATGAATAAATCTAAGGGTTTCTGCTAATCACCAGAAAAAGAGATGAAATTCAATGAAAAAATTATTTGTTGTGAATCATTTGTTCAGCTGCAGTTAGGATAATGCTTATCGCTTTACATGTAATTATATTTGGTCAATTTGTGCTCTCAAACATAGTTGCACGGTCCCCACTAAAGTCAATGGGAGTTGAACGTGGGTATCTGAATGCAGAATTTGACTCAATAATACTCAGCCCTTATAACCTTTGCGGTGCATCTATAAACTGTTAATCCTCACAACCCCTTTTCCTCCATCTCGTGAAGTCGTTTTATTCTTGTTTCCATTTAACAGACTGGAACACTCAGTCTGAGAGGTGAAGTGACTGTCCCAAGGCCCAGGGAGAGCAGTGTCAGAGCAAGAATTGGAACTAAGGAGTTCTTGGCTCAGACCACATGGGCACAATTTAACTTACATACATGTAATGGGGAAGGATTAAAAATCACTGAAGGCATATGCACTTCATGAAGCTGTATATAATTACAGCAAAACATGCCCATGACTAGTTTATTCATCTGCCCCGCAGCATTAAACCGTTGGTTTACTCTGTTAATAATAAAAAGAGAATGTGCCTAAAAATTCGAAGCCTTCCTAGTGGAAAACTCATGCCCACACATCTGTTTTGTTACATAAAATATGATTTATCCTCAGGGTAGCAAACATTCAAACTGAAAAACAGAAAGGCAGAATCCTTACCTCTGGGGACCTCACTACATTTTGAAAGACCGCATAGGCAATAATTGAGCTGGAACCTGTAACACTGAGAAAATAAAGAGCAGGTTGGTTTGAGAACGTTACTTTGGATCTTGTTTCACTTGCTCTGTGTATATTGGGTTGCTAGTCTCTTTTTATACTCTTATTAATAAGAAAACAATAATTAATAATACATTACTTTCTTGAGTTCCAATTAAAGAGATTTAAAGGGAGTACTACATCTGCAGGGAAGGCTGTCATTCCTGACATTTGTTTACTAGTTTAAAACAATATACTGTACCTTAACGTGGCCATGACAAACTGTATCCATTTTATAGCAGAGTAAACCTGGGGGGGGATTAAAAAATGCAGGTGGTAAGTGCAGCTGTAAACTTACTCTGCAATCTCATTTTCTATCTGTAATAAAAATGGCTAAATAGTTGTCTAAACCCGATCACAGATACGTACAGCGGGGCAGTGCAAACTCTGAGATGCCTAGGAGAAAACTCAAAGCCATGTTTGTACCTTAAAGCTGAGAGAGCCAGCATTTACCCAAGCTTTCTCTGAAGCAGGTTCCCTTTACTGAGAGTTTCGGTTATGTAAGGTGCCCTGGCACCACGGAGAGGCGACGTTAACTGAATGGACAGAGCCTGGAGAAGATGGAGAGAGGCTCAGGGACGAGAAAGAAGGAGGATAGCAGAGAGGAAGAAGCTCTGCTAGAGGGGAGGTGAAGCCAGAGATGGACAGAGAGGGTGACCGAGGGGTAGGCGGATTGGATCGAGACAGCAGGATCGCTCAGAGGAGCGGCTGGCTGAGCTGACGGATGGGGGCAGAGGCTGGCTGGGTAGATGGTGAGATCCCATGGCTGGCTAGGGAGAACGGACGGGGCGGGCGGGGCCGCGGGAGCTGGCCCTGCTCCCTGGGGGCTCCCGACCCGCAGTCCCCGGCCGGGACTCGCCCGCTCACTCACCTGCCAGTCCCCGTCCAGCCGGGTGACATTGAGCCCGGCCGCCTGCGCTGCGAGGGCCATCGGGCGCCGGCAGCCCCTTCCCCGGGGCACTGAGCTCTGCGCTCCTGCCGGGAGCCCCTGCCCGGCTCCTCCTCCCGGCCCGGCTAGTCCTGCCCCCGCCCCGGGGCCGCTGGGCACGGCCACCCCCTGCCAGCCGGGGGCCCGGCCGGGGCTAGAGCCCCCCGGGCAGGGATGCTGGGGGGGGGGGAGAGGACAGAGGAAGGGGGGGATGCGAAAGGGAGGGAGGGAGGGCGGAGAAGAGACGGGGCAGAAGCAGGATCCGCTCCGACTTTACCCTGCCCCCGTCTGCCTCGCAGGGACCCCACCCCTCGCTCCTGCTTCTGGCAAAACTCCCCCTGAAACCAGCGCCCCGGAAAACTCCGCGTCACATCATGGGTCTGGCCGAGCAGTGTGCACAGCCCCGGGGGAGCAGGGAGCGGGTTCGCTAGCGGAGGAGAGAAGGGGAATCGCCTTTAAACATATGCAGCAGCAGCCCTCTGTTGTATGTCTCATGCACCTGCCACTGCAGTAGCCAGGTCACTTTGGATGTGTCTGTATAAACTCCCCCCTTCTAGGTGGCTGTTCCTTCCCTTGCATCTTATTTTGTCCATTTCCCTCCCCGTCCTCAACTCTCTGGGGGCACTGATGACGCCCGTTGTTCTTCAGCCTGCATTATTCAAGGAAGGCTTTGTGAAAAGGTGGCTTCCTGCACCTTGCTCTGAAAATGGGCAGGATCAGGACCATCCCGTCACAAAAGCACAGAAGTCACTAAGCAAACTGAGCCCTTCAGTGCAGTTCAAGTTGAGGGGAAGTCAGGAGATGTCATTGGCAGGCTCTAGAAACTGCACTAGGGGAGAAACCAAAACAGAGCATATTGTATTGTGGAAAAATGCTACTGGAATTGAATCTACTCTGGGAGCAGCATGAATGTTGAGAGCTCTGGGGAAAAGAAGAGGTTAAAATCCAAGCAGGCTGCTTTACTCAGCTGAGTAAAAGGAATGAGGATAATGGGGTGGAAAGTTCCCGTAAGGAATTGGAAATGATGCGAGCTTCAGCTTGTGGAAATTCCTCTGAACTAGGAGATGAGGGGGCTTGCTAGAAATACATCTAATTGGGCTCCTTAAATTGTAAGCGCTGTATTTTCCTATGTGTCTAGCACAATGGGCTCCGAGCCTGACTGGAATCTCCTGGCATTCCTGAGATATGAATAGTAAATAATAGCGATAACTCAGGACATCAGGACACCCCTGGTCATCGGGGTGGTGGTGTAGGCCCAACTCAGGATAACTGCCACTGGGAATAAGGCAACTAACTACCTTTGAGGATCCGGGCCTCAGTGCTTCCACAGCTCCCAATTTCCTTTACGGCAGCCTGGGTCAATCTGAAGCAAGGCTGACCTGGCCAGCACTTCCCCCAAAACATGAATTATATTTTGTCTCACTTGGTTTAAATCCTCCTTCTACCACAGGACAAGAGGCATTTATGACCATTTCCAGGGCTGTTTACATTTTACACCTTCTTTATAGGACTGCTGTGCTCACAAGTCAGCACAGCAAGAGTAAGGGCTAGTCTACCAGAAGTGGTACATGGCACAGTTGCACCGCTGTAGTGCATTTATTCTGTTCTCCCATCGGCATGATAAATCCATCTCCATGAGAGGCGGTAGCTAGGTTGGCGGGAGAAGATCTCCCGCCGATATAGCACTGTCCACACTGGCGCTTAGTTGGATGTAACTTACGTGGGTCGGGGGGGTGGCTTATTCACACCCTTGAGTGACATAAGTTATACCAAAGTGAGTGGTAGTGTAGACCTGGCCTAAGACTTGGGCCTGTTCTGTGTTTACAAAATATGTATATAATATGTAGAGTCACTCAGTGGACTCCTAGCTTTGCCTGCCATTGGTCAGCTGTCAGGCTTGTTTAATTAGTAAGAACCTGGATCAAAAGCACCTAAGATGGGGAAGAGCAATGCATTATCACATGGATTTAGGTGGATGCTTTAATGGGATAGAGAAGAGGTACAAAAGAGCTCATCCATAACTGAAATTCCCAAAAGTTTCCTCACCTAATCTGTATAATGGAAGAATAAAGGTACAAGGCACAGCAAACAGAATGATTTTTCATAATGAATATGGAGCTATGGAAAACACCGAGAGTGACATTCACCCTGGGCAGAAGGCCAGCACAAGGCCCTGTGCCCCATTTAAATTCTTTAGTGCTTCCATGGGATATAAACAATTAGGATGACCAGATAGTAAGTGTGAAAAATCAGGACAGGGAATGGGGGGCAATTGGCACCTATATAAGAAAAAGCCCCAAATATCGGGACAGTCCCTATAAAATCGGGACATCTGGTCACCCTATAAACAGTGCATAGGCCTTGTGCTGTTTCTCTGCACAGGAGTGAGTTGTACCTAGTGAGAATAGGAAGGAATAGTCAGCCCAACCGTAGTAAACATGATGATGAACGAGGATGGAGGGCGACCATAAAATTACCAATAGAAAGATTCCAGATCCCATTACCAATATTCTGAGTCATCTTTCCACTACATTTAGCAATCTGAGTTTACCAGATTCTATCATACAATGATAACATAGTCAATAACATCAGATCATATTTATTGGACCAGTTTTCCTTTCCCAAGGTGGAACATGCATAATTTATGCTAAAGAGGGAGTGGGTTACTGGCCAGGCAAAGAAAATTCCAGCTATTAAAAAAAAAGGAAAGTAAATGAGATATCACAGCTAAAACGAAAGCTTGTGTTGACCATGCAGTGTTTATATAAGTCAGAACTCAAGAATGATAATGCTTTATTGCGCTTGTGGAAAGTTATGAATAATGTTCCACAAGTGAGTCACCGCAAAACTTTTAAACAAATCATGATCTGTGTTCCCAACCATGTTTATAGATTCATAGATTCTAGGACTGGAAGGGACCTCGAGAGGTCATCGAGTCCAGTCCCCTGCCCGCATGGCAGGACCAAATACTGTCTAGACCATCCCTGATAGACATTTATCTAACCTACTCTTAAATATCTCCAGAGATAGAGATTCCACAACCTCCCTAGGCAATTTATTCCAGTGTTTAACCACCCTGACCGTTAGGAACTTTTTCCTAATGTCCAACCTAGACCTCCCTTGCTGCAGTTTAAGCCCATTGCTTCTTGTTCTATCCTTAGAGGCTAAGGTGAACAAGTTTTCTCCCTCCTCCTTATGACACCCTTTTAGATGTTGAAGGTTACTAATGCTGAAGTAACATTTAAAATACCATTTACTTTTCACTGTTTATGCTGTTTGATCAATTTTTGTATTTCACTAAGTAGTCAGTTTTAGTTAGTGGCTTTCATGCCCTAACAGAGTGCTGCAGTGTTTGGGCTGCAAACACTGCAACAGGATGTTGAAATCCAAAACAAATACTTTTAAAATTTCAAATCCTTTTTATAGAGAAAAATGAGGACTCTCCAGTAAGGTAAGGATGGTTATGGAGGGGCCATTTACTAGAAGTCTTTGGAATTTGCAAATACCACTGACAAACACATATTTAAACACACCTAGAGTCAGATACACACCGACACTCGTACACACAATCATTGGCTGTGATACCAAGGTGATGAGTGCACAGAGATAAGCAGATAGATATGCTCCTCTTGAGAGTAGTGAAATTTGGATTCAATTCACCAATGCAATAATCCATTTTATTTAAATAATGCACAAACTATTGGGGCAGTACTCCTGGTCAATATAGTTTATAAAAGGCAATAGAAAGGATGATGTCTAGGCTTAATGCACAAGCAGAGTGTTCACTATACACCTGATGGTCACTGTGGGTTTATGCTGGAGACCAACTACAGTTGGCTTATGGAGATGAATACATGTCTTGTGGGACTCACAGGAAATGAATGAACCAGTGTCTGCCCTATCATTAGAGGCGGAAAAGCCACTAGAGGGAAACGGGGCTATCTGTCATTTGTACTCATTCAGTTTGAGCTCTGGGACAATTTAAACAGTTAATAAAACCTTTTACTTTATTCCTTTGGTGAAAGTTCAAGTGACTTATTTTTCTTGGCCCTTTGTATTATGGAGAGTTGCTAGACAGGAGTGTCCTTTGTCTCCATTATTGTTCATTACATAAGTAGAGTTTTTGGGGGTGATACCATGGAATCAAAATAACATGAAAAGAATGCAAATTGGACAGGTGGCCATAAGATTCTGCTATATGCTGAGGGATCATCCAATGAGATAAAGTTATCAGACACTACAGGTTTTGGGGGTACTATTTAGGATCACTGAACATAGGTACAGGTGAGGCATGAAAGTAAAGACTGAAAAGTTTCATCATCTTACATGCAGTTATACCAAACAGCGTGAATACATCCCATCCTGTCTTTCTGGTAATATAAAAAGTGAGTGAACTTTTCTCCAGTATGTTGTTTCTTTCTGACTTGCACTGTAAACTCTTCAAGGCAGGACATCTCTTTTTAACATGATTTGTAAAGTACATTGCATACAGCTAGGACTCTATATGAATGTCAGTAATAATTTTCCTCTCACCTCCAGGCATGGTCACTCTACAGTAGGGCTGCAGGTCATTGAGGGCGAAGTTTGCACTACAACTCCCATAAAGTGGAGGCCAGGTGGGGGTTCCCTTGAAAGAAGTGTTTTTTGTAATGTGAGCAGTGGAGTTTTATTTATCAGAGGAAAAGATTTTAAAAAAGAGATGGACTGGCTGTTTTTACAGGACAAACTATGGACCAGATTCTGATCTCATTCATTCCACTGAGGATCTGGAGTAACACCATTGATTTAATTGTGGTTATTCTAGATCCACACTGGTGTAACTGTAATCAACATGTGGCTCTATATATTTTCTAAAAATTAGCGAGGCACTGACTGCAACTTACTTGGCTGGTGGCTTTGGTGAATCTGCCCTTAAAAGTAAATTTTTTAATAAATTGATCTCAGATTGATGTTATATTTCATCAAATCATCAGAAATATCACATGGTAGCAGTCTTTCTGGGGCAGCCTGGGGGGCGGGCAAAAGGGGCAGCAACGTTAAAGCGCT